ACTAAGGTGCTACTATGATGATGATGAAGATAATATCAACGCCTCCTACAATGATTCAGGTTTTTTCTTTTAGCATTTATTGGTATTGTTTTACATTGGAACTAGAAAGTAAGAGCTAGACATACAAAGTGCGACATTTACTGGCAATGTCGCGCTTTGTATGCCCAAGCCAATACTTTGGTCAGGAAATTCCACGTGTGTTCTGATAAGATAAAAATCCACCTTTTAGAGCCTACTGCACAACATTGTATACTGCACCTTTGTGGTGTAAGTATAGGAAAGCCAGCTTGCATGAGCTTAAAATAGCATGCAACGATGCATTTAGGACTCTGCTAGGGAAGCCTCGGTCCTGTAGCGCAAGTCTTTTATTTTGTAATGCTCATGTCAGGACCTTCCAAGCCATAATGAGGAATTTGATGTACAGGTTTATCTTGCGTTTGAAGAAGTCTAAGAGCAGACTTGTGCAGATGCTGGTTGATCCCCATTTTAGTGCAGTGCGTTACCAGTCATCCATGCGGAGACACTGGTATGCATGTCTTTTATAATCTTTTGTACCGTTTTTACGTCTCTTTTTTAATGTGGACCTTGAGTCCGATAATAAAGTTGGATGAATGAATGAATGAACAGCGTTATGTATATGTTGGTCCTCTTTTTTATGGTCTCGTTCTTCTGTTGGTGTCTCAATGTGTCCTTTTGGTATGATTTCTAATATGTCGTCCACGTAGCGTTTCCATAATTTAATTTAGCAGCAGTTGGGGGGGGGGGGGGGGGGGAATGGACAGTAGCCATGGCTTTTTGTTCTAAGTCCTCCATTAAAAAAAGGTAAAACAATCCTTTCCTGTGTTGAATAAAGAACCAAAAAATGCAATAATGTCACTTTTTTCTAAATATTCTACAAAAACATCTTTAAGATAAAGAAATTTTGACAGAATTATGTAAATAATGCTTCTAAATATCACATTTTTTTAGAAACACAAAAACAAACCTGTTCTTATAAATTAGATCCAGAGGAAAAACGTTTCTCCATCTCTCCATTTATTCTTCACTTCACAAATTCTCAACCAACTAATGCTTGAATAGAGTAAAAAGTAGAACAGCTTTTATTTAGTTCATGAAATCTTAAAAAGGAGCTGCAACTTGTGCTTAAGTCTGAGGTGTTTTCTGTGCGATTTTGCTTTATGGATTCCCTACTTGTTATTAAACTGTGAGATATAAAAAAACACAGACATCGCTGCCAACAGTCTCATCTGTGCTTTGGAAAATCTCTACACTCTTCCGCAGCCTTGATAATGAAAATAGAAAAAGCTCGTGAGCAGCATACAATCAGCCGGTTTAATTATACAGTGCTGAGAAAACTTCTTTTGCACTATTAATTCAAAAATGAATGTTAATCGCTTAAAAATCACAACAGTGGTGTAGACATAATGCGTACAAATGTTAATGCTTCTTATGAATATATCTTTTCCTCCCTAAAGAATTTTGTTACACACTTCTGCACTGTAACGATAAGAGCTTCTGGTGCCGGAGGACATGTGTGGACCCTGCCTACGGGGTAAACGGGGGATCAGTTACTTCAGTTTGGTAGGACTTACGAGGCCTCATAGAGGTCATGATGTGATTGTTACATTGCCCAGGGTAAGGTTCTCACATTTCAAGGGTAAGAAGAAAACCCATTTGCCAACTCACTGTTTGTGATCGCACATCCAATTATTAAATTATGATGGATTTTTAGCATTACTTTCTGGCAGGCATTATTCAAGACCGTCTATCACAATTTACATAGCTTAACGAAGCACTGAGCTTTTAATAATGTGAAGGAGCGCAACAGTGCGAGCTGATGTTCATTTGAACTGGCTGGGTTTTTGGTGGTAATGATTATGAAGTGAGCACTGGGAGCAGTCTCTGGGAGAGGATGGCTGGGGGTGGGGCTGGGCGCTGCGTGGAGCAGGCAGATGGTTGGCCGGACAGCGTGTTGATAATGGCAACATTAGTCTACTGAGAAGCAACGTTATGCTCAAGGTCAATGGGAGCTGAAGAATAGAGGAACATTATGACTTGCGTCTTGTGTCCTGAAATGAGGTCTCCCTTCGAAGATGGTGAGATGTTTAATGTGACCTTAGTAATCTGCACAAGGCTGTCCTATAAATGATCACATAAAAAAAAAGAAGGTAATTCTTGTCACAGAGGAAGTGAGAATAAAAGAATCCTTCTTTTAGAAATGTGTTCAGCAGCCATCCTGGTTAGGTTCTGCGTGCATTTGCTTTAGCCAAATACATTTGATTAACTACAGGTGATGTTTTTCAGTTTTAATAATTAATAATTTACTATGATTTAATAATAACAATGTGGACAAAATTCAAATTAATGCGTGAGAGTTGGTAGCCCTGCATTGTACACAAAAGCCCCATTCCCACCTGTACCGGGTCGGCCCGGGCCGGGTAGCCCCAGTCGGCCCCAGCCTGGCCCGGTTGATTCCACACATCCTTGCCTTAAGCCCATGTGGGCTGATTCTACCCACCAATCAGAGGCTTGCTCTAATGGAAGGTGTGAATGGGCTGATTCTACCCACCAATCAGAGGCTTGCTCTAATGGAAGGTGTGAATGGGCTGATTCTACCCACCAATCAGAGGCTTGCTCTAATGGAAGGTGTGAATTTGCTGTCAGCAGTGGGCGTGTTGGCCCTGGTCGGCCTGAAGCAGTACCCCTCGGGAAGAGGGCCGAGAATGAGCCTTGGTTGGCCCGGGAAAATTCCAGGCCACCCAGATATGTAAACAACCTATGCTACCCGGCCCGGGCCGACCCGGTACAGGTGGGAATGGGGCTTATATCCACCCATCAAGAGGCACAGTGTGCCAATAGGCTGGGCAAGCAGTTGCTTGGGGCCCCCTAGGCCTTCGGAGGCCCCTAGAGAGCTGACAAACTTTTTACCAAGCAGTGTTGCCAACATAGCGACAAGTAAGCAAAATGGGTTCTCATTGAATTTGGTCTTTAAAGGGACAATGTGTAGTTTTACCCTTAATCTCTGGAAATATCCATCGAAATGTTGTTGAAAATAAATAATGTCATTGTGAAAAATATTGGTGACTTCGTAACATATGAAAAGTTGGTCTAAAAATACATGGGAGTGAGTAAGTTTCTGGGCAACACCGTATTAGATGCCATGTTTCCTTCTACAGAAGCCCATGAGGACAAAATGCATTTACTGATTTGTAACAAACAGTTGTTTAATTGCGCTCCTAGAGATTTTTCACCCTAATGGTCATTCGCTGGATCTTACTCAAACACAAACATACTGTCTGGTTACAATGATTTAGGTATGTACTGCCCCCATTCACTGGGGAAAATACAGACATCGTCACTTTAAGATGAATCTGCCATAAAACTTACCGTAACCATAATGTTGTTGCTCAGTCTGTCGCTGTCGCTGTGTCCTTGGGCAAGACACTTAACCCACATTGCCTGCTGGTGGTGGTCGGAGGGACTGGTGGCGCCAGTGCTCGGCAGCCTCGCCTCTGTCAGTGCGCCCCAGGGCAGCTGTGGCTACATTGTAGCTCATCCCCCCCAGTGTATGAATGTGTGTGTGAATGGGTGGATGACTGATTGTGTTGTAAAATGCCTTGGGGGTTCCAGGACTCTAGAAGGCGCTATATCAAATACAGGCCATTTACCATTTACCATAATCTTAATATAAGTCAAATACATTGACTGGTCAAGAAAAGTTGCCACCAAATAAAAGGTCACGTACTCCTTTCGCCTTTAGCATTGATTATGACACACATTCACTGTTGCATTGTCTCGATAAGCCTCTGCAATGTCACAAGATTTATTTGCATCCAGTGTTGCATCAATTTTTCCACCCTAACCCTAAGTCTACTTCCTTTTGGGTCAGCTCATGGGTCCCTGGAAGAACAAAAAAATGAACGCAAGTCAACGGGGCTATAAGAGCTATTTTTCAATCCGCTTTACCTTATGCTTTGAATCGCAATTGTGTTATGACCATGCCTGTCACATACTTTATTCATCAGTTTGTAAAAATCAGTAATTACTATGACTACAAATCAGACATCGGCACATCGTGAATATGACATCACCACAGAATCTTCTCTCCCCCAGCATAACACATACCTTTGCTGAACCTTGACCTGACCAACTGCAGCAACCCCAGATCATGACACTGCCCCCACAGGCCTGTACAGTAAGCAGTACGCATGATGGGTGCATCACTTCATCCGCCTCTCTCTTTACCCAGGTGCACCCATCACTGGAACAGGGTCAATCTGGACTCATCGGACCAGCTTTCAATAATACTTTGGGCAGTTTTAACCAATTTTAGTCGTTTCTGCAATCTCCTTAGATGTTTTCTCTGCTTGGTGCATGCCAGTGATCTGACCCGTCTCAAACAGACTAACATCTTTTCCACGACTACCAGATGTGTCTGTCCACATGTTTGTTTAAGAAATGAGAAGCAACTCATTGCACCAGTTGGGGTTAAACAAGTTGTTGCCAGTTGAAAGATAATCGCGCATGCAGCAATTATCCAATAGGAGGCTCGTACTTATTTGCTTAGTTAAATCCAGGTGGGAACTTATCTTTTGACCAGGCTGTGTATTTGACAAAAGGATGTCTAGAGTAATGAAAAGCCCATGCAAAATATCCCGGAAAGTTTAAATGCATTTAACCTGAAGAACTCAAATGAAAAGCTGCTTTAAGTTTTTCCTCAGGGAAACAACTCAGTCTTCCCATAGAGCTCCATATTTTTTTGCCCCTACTTGTTCTCAAACTTTGAGACTTTGCATGAAATATTATCAGGTTGAGTAATACCATTTGTAATGAATAACAATTACAGAGCAGCTTTAGTTCAAACACTGTCAATCAAATACGCTCCGTCACCTTGCTGTGGGTGTCAAGCCTGATATTATGACTGCAGGCTATGGCCCTGCAATTTACAACCACTAAGCTTTATGCACAGGGTCACATATCTAATAACAGCAAAATGACAGTTTTCAAGTTGTTCATATTTTAATTCGCACTTTGGCTCTCTTTTTTTTAAATCTTTTTACAGTGGCATAGTTTAAAAATGAATATTCAATACGGAGAAGAAAAGCAAATCTCACACATTCTGCATTATAAAGCAAATTAATTACAGCAATTAAATCTTTGTACAAAATGACTTATTTATATCATCGTACTGAACTAACAAAATAACATGTATGAGCATTGGTTCAATGTCTTTGATACAATGAATATGTACAGTTAGAAGATGTCCGATTCACCAATGCCTCAACATGTCGATACTGTTTTGCAGCAAACTCAAAGGCCATAACGGTGATCCTTGTTCTGGAATTTTTTTTATGATAAGTTACAGAAATAAAAATGGAAAAGGTAATGTCTGACAACATCTTTAGTATTAACAACAATAATACTAATCAGTATAATATATAATAAAAGTCAATAAGTCATAGTAATAAATACACATATTTAGATTTTTTCCCATTTTACAATGTTCATTAGAATCCCTGTTTGAAGAAAATCTTCGTAAGTGTGAAAACAGGAACGAATGAGACTTGATATCAAAACTGATCACCGACTGATCACCAGTGTGTCTTCCTTTCACCGAAATACTTACACGCCTTTTGGCAAATCAGACTCAAGTTGGAGTAAAAGGCAAAAAGAAAGAACGTGAAATACTTTAAATACTATATATGCTAATATACAAAAAAAGCAATGTGCCAGGGATCCCAAGATTCAACAATATTGTTCACCATTATTCACGTTAGCAAAGTATTTTACAGCAGTATTCACACATTAAGCATAGTTGTTCCATAAAACTCAAAAAATAAATGAACCCTTGCAAAGTTCCACTCATTCAGTTTGGGTTTTATGTTAAACAGCCAACAAAATTTAAAGTTCCTCATCCATTACGATAACTAAAATCTTCATTACACGTCTGACTCCATCCCACCGTTTAGACTCATAATGAATCCTGAGACAAGATTACAGTTCATGCGTTTTCCCTCCTTGTTAGATTTTGTGCTTTAATTCTCTGACTTTGTTGTGTCAAATAAAACGCGTGAGCAACGTCTGAAAGCAAACCACTGGAACGTGTCTGTTTTAGAGGGAAAGCGTTTCTTCTAGAGCCAATCACATCGATTGTGCTTCTACTTTTGTTCTTTCAAAGTGTTTGGTCTGTTTTGTGACTGTTTAATGTTTGGATCATGGCTGTGGTGTCTGAAATTACGTTATAAACAACAACTGAAAAGCTCAAACCTGAATCAGTTCTGATATGGAGCAAAACATTTGTTCCTCTTGTGTTTAAGAGAAAAATCTGCAAAGAACAAAATAAAGTAAAACGGTAAAATAAAAATAATTCAGCGTTTAGGCTCTAGAAATCTGATGTCTAGTCCAGCTGTTGGTTTTAAAAGGAGAAAGCTTTTTTGTTAGTGGATGTTCTCAGAAGCAAACAGATCCAAGCGTTCTGAAAAGGACACGTGAAGAATAACTAAATAAAATAGATCATGTACTGGCGCTGAGGCAGCTTAAAATTGCATGTCTTTTGTTGAAAGCTGAAAGGTAGGAGGAAGGGCAGGAGGTCTAAATGAAGTACTCTTTCTTTTCCTCTGCATGCACATGGTTTCCCTCAGCGTTGATGATAGCCGTGTCAGCGTCTGGGGCGTCCTCTGCTCCTTTAGCCTCGTGTGTTAGATACGTTCCTGCAAACACACAGAGCCGAACCACAAACCCACCAGCTGAAAGATGAAATGAAACTCTATCTCTCTTTTTTTATTAATTCAGAAAGAAGTGACCTTTTTACCTTTATGTCTAGCCAGGTATCGTCCAAGAACTATTATCAAACACAAGGTGATAAAGACCACGACGGCAACAACTCCACCGATTAAAGCGTGATCGGGTCCGTGTTGTCCTAAAGCATTAGGATCTGAAAGAAAACAGTCAGAGATGGAAGAAAAGTGAAGGGACTGAATTTAGCTGCAACTATTTTCTGCAGCTATCAGCATTTATTAAACAGGACTGGACATATTTTTGCTGCTGCAGTTATTCCAGTGGGGGAAAAATGGGAAAAGTAGATTTTCTGCTTGCAAACAAAGTGCTACATTCTTAGTTTCTGTCACATTTAGAGGAAACGGCTGTTTTAAGTGCTGAACTGCAATCTAGCTAAACTGTAGAAATAATCACAGTTAGAACCACAAAGATCTGCAAAAAAAAAGAAGCAAAAAACAAAAAAAAAAAAAAACCATTGAGCCATTTAAAGAGCATGACATCGGAAATCTAGCCCCTTAGAAATGTTTTGGTCATTTTTCCAGCACCTCTGAGTCTTTTATGTTTCTTCTATGCTTCAGGGTCATGTCTTGTTTTTTTTTTTAAATTCGTTATTTAACACAAGGCCTCCTTAGGGCGAGACGGAAACTGGGTGTTTCTCATGCTCCGACGTCTGTTCTGTCACAAACGGTGGGTGGCTGTGTCTTTACTGGGTGCCTCTTGTGCTCTCATTATCTCAAGCTGATGAATTGCCACGGCTCCTGCTCAGTTTTGCAAAGTGACCTGGGAAATAACGGCGTGTGATTTTCCCACAAACCCTCAAAACTAAAGCCGCGTTTATTTTCAGCATCCTAAAATGTGACACTAAAGAAAAGATGAAGTTGTGAATCATGCAGTTTATCCAAAGTCCATGCATAAAAAAACACCAAGATTTGTTTTAAGCATCAGAGACTCACAAGCAAACAAATAAAGGCTTTAAAACAATGGCTGCTAAACAGCAGTTGCATTAACCTGATTTGGGTTGCATGTTGATGAATATAATGATCTGTAAACATGAATCCACTGTCAGCAGGGAGCATAAGCACATTTCATAACACTGATAAGCATTAGTGTTTCTTATGAAGCACAACTGAAAACATTTGTAAAAAAAAAACACATTAAGTTAATACATTTACCCCTAAACATAGAGTAAACATCCAAATATAAAGTATTTTTATTTCAGAGCAAACAAGGTAGAAACAACACTAGATATCAAGATTGTAGGAAAACAACCGACACAGAAAATGACTCAAATGACATTTATATAAAGGGTACACTGGCTACATGTTTGATAACTTAAAGGGTTCAAAGGCAACTGGACTTCTTCAATTTCTTGAAGATATTTCGCTTCTCGTTTGAGGACTGAAAAATCCTGGCGTTGTGCTTTTAAACTGTAGCTGTCTGTTGTTCCTTAACGAGCTGAAACTACCTATGAGCACCCCCTGAGGATTTATTTGTGTCTTTGTTTATGTTATTTAAGATCTATTGTGTTAGAATGGTTGTTTTAGTTAGATGCAGAGGGTATGACCTAGACTGAAACAGCACTGCATATTGAATATTCTGGTCAGAAATGACAAAGCTCGTCAGATGAGAAGCGAAACAACTTCAAGAAATCAAAGAAGTCCAGTTGCCTTCATTGGAACCCTTTGGAGTACCATGACCTGGAGGACTGAGAACCATGACCAGCTTAAAAAGTGCTTAATTTTGGCTACCTGGCCCCTGTTCTTTGATTTAAGGTCATCTTTCAGGATTAGAATTTCCCCTAAGTCCCTTGGCTGTCCTCTACAGCAAAAACCATTTACATGAGCCTCGAGTGTTGGCCAATATTTAAGTTTCCAGAAGAGGGAGCTATCAGAATCCACCCTAGTCCCCAGCGTGTCCAACAGGAGTACGTGGATGTTCTTCAGTCAGCTTAGCACACCAAGCTAGCTTGAATTCTAACTCGACCTACAATGAATTGATGTCAATCTGTATAATGCAAGCTAACTGAGGAAGAGGAGGGAGGGAAACAAAGAGATTTTCTTAATTGTGTTCAAGCTAAGTGAATAGCGTGGTGTTCAAACTTACGCTACATTGGATAATCATTTAACCTGTTGCAAGGCTGCCAACTTTGGAAGTTTTCCAATTCCCTTCACTGTCCGTGGGGGGGGGGGGGGGGGGGGGGGGATTGCTTTTACATTATGAAAATTTGGAGGTGTGGCGTGAGAGCATGTGAAATGGGTAAGATGCGTGTGTCTCACGCTCAGTGCGTGGGAGTTGGCAGCCCTGCGGTTGTAGCATTAGCAAGGGTGTGCTAGCATTGCGGGTACCAGATTACTGCCAGTTTTTGATGTTTCTCTGTCTGAACTTTGCAGATTTTATTAAAAGGAGTGATTAGCAGCTCCTGCACAACCTGTTGAAGGCTGAGGAGATCATTCAGCAGTTAGCATCAGGTGAGTCTGTGCAGGCACATATCGAAAACTCTACTTTACCATTTACTTTTACAAGGCTCTTGGCCCAATACGGAGACGCTGATACATGCTTTTATCACTATAGAACTGATTATTGTAATGCCCTGCTTTCTGGTCTTCCCAAAAAGAGTACCTCAGTTTTACAACTTCTCCAAAACTCAGCTGCATGTGTCCCAGGGGGCAGGGGCAGGGCCAGATTAACACTTTGTTGTACCCTGGGCAACAGTATTCAAGGGCCCCATCATCACGACCAAAGGGTCACCATAATATGGTCATATACAGAATATTTTACTGTAATATGCAGTAAATATACTCAATACTTGAATGCCTGATGTCACGTAACCCACTCAGGGTAACCTTTGACCCACCTCGTGTGGACTGACCAATGAGGAGAGGATCTTAACTTGAGGCCCTCTCTTCATTGGTCAGTCTGCATGAGACTGACTCTCAACCGCTCTCAAGTGACGTTCAAAGTCATAGGCAGCGAAGTGTCTCTGTGCAGTGGAAAAGCCAGGGTGGACAGTTTAGGGTGACCATATTTCCATTTCCAAAAAAGAGGACAGGGGATCTGTGCCTATGACGTCACTCTATGGCAATGCCACACAAACCACGTTGGGACCCATTTTTTTGTAAGAACTAAATTAATATCAGATTCTGCCAATAAAAGGGCTCTAAAACAATTCATATGTAAATATTTTGCATACTTATTGCAAAATCTCATTTTTCTGCTTTAGTGCTGCAACAAGGTTTTATTAATAAGAAATTATTATACCTTTTGTTTTACTACAGCATCGGTATGCTTCCTGTGCACAGATTATTAAGGATGCTTGTTTCAGCTGTGAGAATAGACGACAGGGTCAATGAAAAAAATAAGTTGTCACACACTCCATGGAAACTTTCAGATAATCCACATATAGTGGCTGTTGCATGGTTGTTTTTAATCTTGAACAGTGCTTTGACTTGTTGTATGAACAGTACTTCAAAAATAATGTTTGATTTGATTTAAAGGCTATTTTTTTGTGGGTGCGCGATGTGAGGCGTGGCTGTCAGCTCCTTCCAGATGAGGAGGGGTAAAGCTTGGTTTATGCTTGACGCATTCACTTTCCGCTTGGCGATGCGGCTCGCGGCTGGAACGCACTTCACAACTTGCAGCATTTATGGTTCATGTGGCTTGTCTCTGCAGTGAGCCAATATTCTCCCAAACTGAACGGGGTAGCATGGAGCTCTACGGCATGCATCCAACACTACACCATAGTAGAAGTAAAAATTACTGTTGTTTACAACATGGCGTTCCAGCATTTTTTTAACAGCGTCCTCGTCTTTTCTGACAGTGCGAGCTATTTCTCTCCAAGAATTATTAACAACATGTTGATCACGGTGATCTTTGAGAGCTGAATCATACAAATGTCTGTATTTACGAACCTCTGCCATACTAGTTCTTGCCAGTCTGACATGTTTTTCCGTGTCCGACCGTTCGCGTGGTTAGAAAATTTCCTAGGTGCACGGTGCGGAAAGTTTGGGGCGTGCGGAGGTAGGGTGGAGGGGCGTGGTTGTTAAAATGACGCAACTTTTCCGCGCGGAGCCGTGCGGATCTCGCGGACTCGTCAAGCATAAACCAAGCTTAACAGGAGTGGAGCAATAGCTGTTCAAATTTAAAAATCCCCACCCCCGACTCCTTTTGTTGATGATGTCATGCTACGAGCCACAGTTCATGCTAGAGATAAATTAAAATTAATGGCCAAAGATGCGGTTTCTACCTTGTGTCTAGCAAATCTAGCACATAAACAGTCTTTAAGGCTGTAACAGTAAGGGCTGCAAGTTTGTATACTGAAATGCACATGAGATCTAAAGTTTGAATTTTAACTTCCGTTTCAATTGTCGTGTTCACAACAGCCCAGTTCATCTGAGACAGAAGCATTCGTCTCACTGGCAAAGACAAACTGAAACAGAAACACATTGTGATAACTTATGCAGTCCGTGACATGGTTGAAGAGAAAGCATCTGGTGTCAGCAGAGCGAGCATCCATGCATGTTGATGATTTGGCTCATGCAGGGTGAAGGCCATGATGTGCCCTGACCCAGAGCCAGATCCAGCATCACACACACTAAAATTTGGCTTGAAACGGTCATTTACTTGGATATTTACCTGCCGAAGGTCCTGGAAAATCTTTGGCTGTTGCCATGGTTGTAGTCAGTGACAGCAGTAAGGAAAGACGAGCGGAACAACACCATGATAAAAAAAGGTGACCACCACATTTAAAGCAATACAGAAAAGGTTAGAAGGTTAGTCTGGGGTGTAGAAGTGAAGCTTATTGTCAGAACTTAATGAAGGCTTGACTGGACAAATATTATCCAACAAGACAAGGAAGGTGGTTTAATGCACTTAAAGAGCTCCATGTACACCGGAGAAATTAAAAATAAATGTTCTATTTTCCTGTAGTTATTTATTCTGGCAGACTTCTGGGATTTAATCCAAGTTTTACTTCTTTTACTCAATGACATCACCTTGAAAAACAGTTGCGTATGGCTTGCCAAGAAATTGTTAAGCACGCCCACAATAATAAAAGTATCATAAGTGTACACTCCAGCACATTTTCTGTCCTTTTTTTAAGGTGACTTTACAGAGACAGAAGCCAAGGAAGAAAGTTTTCTGTTTGGGATTAGATCTCTGATGTTATTCCTAAAATCCTCTGCAGCGTTTTACCCTTTCTATAGGGTCACAGCCCAGAGCTCAAAATATCACTGACACCAATGCTGACTTGAAGTGTTCACATCTTCCTCTTCTGTTGACCACTGATATTTATCAAGTTCCTTTTGTTATTTCATCAAATGGTTCCCTATCAACGATTTATCATTCTTGGTCTGGAAATCTCCCAAAATGTCATTTCTTTTATTTCCTGTTGCTCTACGAGTTGAGGCCTGTGCTGACCAAAGGGCTTCAAGTCATCGTATAAAAACTAGTAAAAGTGTCTTGCACTTCAATTAATAAACTGATACTCCTGTAACATTTTGCAACATTTTTCACTAAAATGTGAATATTCCAAATGCCTAAGTGTTTGATCGATCATATCCAAAATGTACCAATGATGTAAAATGCCCCAAAGCACCACAGATAAGGACTTCCAACATTTAATCAGCACCATTGTCACCACATCATCACCACCAAGGCAGCGCGACTCGGGTTGCGAATGACCACAGCCACCAATTCTTGTTCTGAATTGTGTGTACTGAAACTCTAATTTCCCTCTGGGATTAATAAAGTTTGATTGATTGATTGATTGTGTTGTAAAGCACCTTGGGGAGTTCCAGGACTCTAGAAGGTGCTATATAAAATACAGGTCATTTACCATTCTAAATAGTGACTCTAATGATCATACCTTCTGGTTTCCCTCTTTTCACTTATCGCGATAATCGTGTCAATTCTCCTCTTTCGCAAATCTTGAAGACGCGCCAGATTACATAACATCTCTAAAGATAATATTATCAGAAAATCCTGTCGTGTGTGGTGTGTTAGGAGCACCCTGGTCTGGTTAGAAGAATGTCGGGACTGCTTGGATCATGAATCCAGACTATCCGATGTATTGTATTGCCTTGTTCCAATTTTTGAGGACAAACAAATGTGGTACCTGTTGAATGTGATGTGTAGGTGACAGAAGCGTTCAGCACACTCCTCCTCTGCTATGTTTGCCTGGTACAAAGTAATGTTTGATATTTAGAGATTTCCAGTCTGACCAGGAACTGTTCATGTGGAAAATAGGTTTGTGTGTAGTGTTTGCCGTGTAGCCGGACACTACACAATGTAGGAACAAAATGTTAGATCCGTGTCTGGTCTAGCCTGTCTCGAAACATTTCCAACAATTTTAAAAATCGCTAAACTGGACCAAAGCGTAGAGTCTTGGATGCTATACCAGAATTAAAATTCTTCTCACATTCTGTCTTTAGTAAACCTGTAATACTATATATACACATAATCTCAAGTTCAAACAGAATTTGGCACTTACAACATTCAGAAATGGAATGCATCCCAGATCTGAGTAACATCTGTTACTCTCTAATCATTAAACAAAAGCTATGACTCCATTACGTTGTTCTTTTTTTTAACACAGTTTATTAAAAATAGTTCTTTACCTGACATGTTTCGACTAATGCCTCTAGTCATCACCAGAGTTGGCTGGTCTTGATGGCGTCACTTCAGTTTATCCATAGGCAGCAGAGGACGGTGTCGCCCTCTACTGCCTGCGTCCTCCTTGCTGATGACATAGTCCCATGTGTGATCCAGTGTGAATACCCCATTGTCTCTGTTCATCTTTTTGTGTCCACGTCTCCTTACTTCTATTCTTTTGTATTTTTGTTGTTCTGTATTTATGACCCGTGTACTGTCCCAGTCCATTATATGACACTCCCTTGTGCAGTGGTTTGCTACAACTGATTTCTTTATTGTGCTTTCTGCTTCTTGTTTTGCTGCTCTTGTATGTCTTCGACTTGCTTTCTTCTCGCACCCCTTCTTATGTTCTATTGTTTGTGTGTTGAGTTGTTTCTCCTATGCATGTTTTATTGCAGAGTTTACATGGTATTGCATGGAGGATGCGGGCAGTAGAGGGCGACATCCACGGATAAACAGAAGTGATGCCACCAAAACCGGCGAACTCCAATGATGACTAGAGGCATTGGTCGAAACATGTCAGGTAAGGAACAATTTTTTAACTAAACTGTGTAAAAAAAGAACTAAGTAATAGATTACTAGTTAAACATAGAACACACATGCAAAAAAGTTATGGTAAATGGCCTGTATTTGATATAGTGCCTTCTAGATTCCTGGAACCCCCCAAGGCGCTTTACAACACAATCAGTCATTCACCCATTCACACACTGGTGGGGATGAGCTACAATGTAGCCACAGCTGCCCTGGGGCACACTGACAGAGGCAAGACTGCCGAGTACTGGTGCCACCGGTCCCTCCAACCACCACCAGCAGGCAAGGTGGGTTAAGTGCCTTGCCCAAGTACACAACGACACAGACAGACTGAGCAGGGCTCGAACCTGCAACCTTCTGATTATGGGGCAAGCACTTAACTCCTGTGCCACCGTCGTTGTATGGCTGTTTTGGGCCTGTTGGTGGTGGTCGGAGGGTCAGTGGCGCCAGTGCTCAGCAGCTCACCTCTGTCAGTGCGCCCCAGGGCAGCTGTGGCTACATTGTAGCTCATGTGTGCATGAATGAATGGCTGTTTCTGTTGGAAAGTGCCTTAGAGGGTTCTAGAACTCCAGGGAGTGCTATATCAAATACAGGCCATTTACCATTTATCCTCACAAAGTCATAAACAATCTCCAGAACATTAAAATTCAAACATATGACTCGAAGCAGGTGATACTTGAGTTAATGTTCCAACTACATTGTTTTCTCAGCTTGTTGTGCCGGTAGAAACCTTTGAGCAAAAGAACAAAAAAAAAAAATTCTTAACAGTTTCTCAATTTTCTGCTTCTGCAAAAATCCTCGTTTTGGTGCAGTGTTGATGTGGTATCTTACTCCTACATTTTTTGAACAAATCTGCAACAGTAGAAAAAGTTGGGCAAAGAAGGAGAGTAAAAAGGAGAGCACTTTGAGGTTCTCATGTTAAAAAAACTACTTTCTAGCTCACAGCTTGGCTGTTAGCTTATCATCCATCAGCTGTATGTTTAGTGCAGGTGTGCTTAACCCTGGTCCTCAAGATCCCTTTTTCAGCTTGTTTTACATCTCACCTTGCTGATTCAGTGGCTGGATCACCTGTTCAACAGCTTCTCGAGCTCAGCAGAACACTGTTAATCACCACTGATTCACATCAGGTGTGCTGAAACAGGGAAACTTCTAAGACACGCTGGATAGGGAATCTGGAGGACCAGAGTTGGTCACACCTGGTTTGGTGTATTATTTGGTGAATTGGGGTGGGGGGTATGGGAAGTGCAAGTGTACCTGTGAATGCAGCTGTGACTGGACACTACACAATGTAGTTGATTGGCTGATTGGCTGAACCTGGCGGTAAGGCATTTCCTGTTTTCAGTGTTGCACTACGTGTAGCTGTTTGGTGTTTGGGGCTTGCTAAAACAGATTTAATTTCTCTGTACTAGGATATCTCTGAGTTATTGTAGCACATAAGCACGCTAAAACACATTTTCTGTTGTTCCACCTAGCTTTTAGGGAACCATTTGAGTTCGCACGCAGTTTATTTGGTGTTGAACAGTTTGCTCGTCCAGTTAGCTTAGCCTCAGCACGGCTATGGCTACTTCTGTCTCTGCTTCTCCGTCTCCTATCTCTTGCTCTCTGTGTCAGATGTTTAGTTACTCCTCTGCCTCCTTTAGCGATAATGGTACGTGTAATAAATGTAGCATTTTTGTAGCTTTGGAGGCGAGGGTGTCGGAATTGGAATCCCGGCTCCGCGCTGTTGAAAAACCCGTAAACAGCCATAGCTACTTAGCTAGCGCGGAGCTAACTAGCTCAGAACAACCCTGTACCGATCCTCCAGCAGAACCCGAGCAGCCGGGACCTCAGGCCGGCTGGGTGACGGTATGCAGGAAGCATAGAACCCAGCCCGTGGGCCACCACCAACCCGTCCACGTTTCTAATAGATTTTACCCGCTCAGTGACGCACCCAATGTCAAGCCGACTCTGATCAATGGCAGCTCCATAGTCAGAAACGTGGCATTAGAGGCTCCAGCAACCATAGTTAAATATTTACCTGGTGCCAGAGCGGGCGACATTAAATCTTATCTGAAACTGCTGGCTAAGGATAAGCGTAAATACAGTAAGATTGTTATCCTCCGTAATGCGGTTTCTTCTTCCTCACTAAGTGAGTCAGCATCAGAGGTGACTGTAGAACCTCATCTGTGCTTGAACCGTTTTGATCCAGTTGAGCTTTCAGAGTTATCAAAAATATTAGCTTCATCTAAACCTTCAACTTGCATTTTGGATCCAATCCCAACCAAATTATTTAAAGAAGCATTTCCTTTGGTTACTGCCCCCATTCTAGATATAATCAATCTATCCTTAGTAAATGGATATGTACCACAGGATTTTAAGGTTGCTGTAATCAAACCTTCACTTAAGAAGCCTTCTCTGGATCCAGATAACCCAATAAATTATAGACCAATATCTAACCTTCCATTTTTATCCAAAGTCCTGGAGAAAATAGTGGCCATCCA